AAGGATCAGCAGTTAGGTGAAGCAATCCAGTCAAGTGTGGGGAAGACAGGGTACCCTTTGGGTCCAACCTCAGAGAAGAGGTAATGACTTCTACCATATTTTCCTGAAATTCAGATAGCTAAAACTTTCCACAAACTGCAGCCATAGTAGGCAAGCCCATAACAAATAACAGATAGAATCTTGGGAGATAAAGAAAATAATAATAGAGTTCCTAGTTCACCAATCTTGAGGTCAATTTAGAGTTATATGTAGTACAGCCAGAAAAGAATAATACACAGGAATCATTAGAGCCCTTCTGAAAAGAAAGGAGAGGATTCCAACCCCTTGGAAGAGAAGTGATCCAAGAAAGCCAAGATGATAGATCCTACCAATTCCTACTACCTGAGGTTACATGGGTTTCATGTGCTGTTTGTTAAGTATCATTCAAAATTCTTTGAAACTCCTGAACATTTAAGAAATCGTCATCTGAGTGATTGATGTAGGAACCACAGGATTGGTTAATAATGGTACAGGCTCTCCCTTGTGCAGCAGTCAGAATATTCAGTGCCACTTGATTTTCCATAGTCATATGAGCCACAGACTGCATTTCTGCCTCTAAGCCAGAGATGCCTGCTGGGGTGTGTTGAATGGCAGCAGATATATCTTGAGCAAGTCTTTGAAGGTCTGCAGACAAGTTCCTAAGAGAATCTAACACTACAGTTATTCCCAGATTAGGAACCAGAATCCATAAACACAATAACTTACACCAAGTTTTACTATAGGATTACTCTTGCCTGTCCACATTGTGCTTCTTTTAGATCAATAGTACCACCAGGCCTCCACATTTCAGGTGGTTCTTATTTCTACTAATCTCTGAAAATTATTCATAACATTCACAGGTGAAATTAGATAGGCTATCTCACAAGTTCCATACCATCCTGGTCTAAGGGAAGAGAAAGCAACTCCATCACCAAAAAAAAAAAAAAAAAAAACTAGCCAGGGGTTACCAACTCCCATGGTAACTCAGCTATCCTTGTGGTACCATTAGTATGATTTTGGCCACTGTAGGAGACCACTGCAAAGGAAAGATTTGTGGGAGGGCCGTTGTTTCCTTTAAAATGTCCAATTAAAACACAAAGGAAGATACATTATTGACATCTAGAACGGTGAAAGAAAAATTATTTTACTGAGTTTCCTACATTAACTCTGGAATCTTTAGTTTTACTTTGGTTATCACAGAGAGCAAAGTTTGGTAAAGATGAGCCATGGCTAAGAGAGGGAGCCCAGACTTGAAAATCACTTGGGTCATATTATGATGTGATAAGATGTGAAATTTGACCTGGAAATATCTGAGGGGCTTGATTTTCATGAAGACTGGGGTTGCCCATTTATTTGGCCCCCAAGAACTATTATTTACAGTACATCTAGTAAACACAAAAGGTTCAAATGGCCAATAAAAAAAAATCACTGCCTGTTACTTGTGACATGATCTTACTCGAATTTACAGAGAAAGCTAACCTATGGTTGGTAGTGTATCTACAAATTCACTGACAAATCCAACCTCCCTGTATCCCTAAAGCCTTAGCATATGTAGTTTGTGATCTATCTGGCTATGCATACCAACAATAGAGTTATTCTAAACCCACTCATTCTTAGATGAAGCAACAGCTTCCATTGACGACAATGAAGAATCTTCCACACAGGTATAACTGGTCCAAGAAAAGCTTCTTGCTTCAGAGCTAGAGTTTAACCACCAATCTTGTCCTGTACAGCTATTGCTCTAAGCGGAGTTGAGGATTTTAAGTCTTTTTTCTTATAGCAGCATAGATAAGGCCTCCAGCATTCTTTGAGGTGCAGATTTGTATAACAGAGTCAAAAAGATTGTGTTCTGCAATGACTTCATCACTATGACCATCAACTTCTTGCCTTCTCCTTAGTACAGAGTTAGCTTCTTTGTGACTAAGGGAGATAGTATTCAAATCAAATACATGTTGCAAGCCATCCTTTGGGTGGGTAGATACTTATCATCCCCAAGGATAAAAGGCAGCACTAAACAGGCCAAGCATATAGCAAAGTTTATATTGCCAGATAGCTTTGCCAACTTTTTTCACCTTTGTGTGGACTCCTCAGCTGAACAGGGCTTAGGTTCCTCCGTATTTTCATACTCTCCAATTGTAACTGAATTACTCATGCCTAAAAGTGCTTCAAGAATATCATATCTGATTTTTTCTACTTCAGCACCCACTTTTATATGTCTTGACACATTCTTCTATTTCCAAAACATCTCTCTTCTCTTATGGAACAGCACTCATCTATTTGGTTACAGTTGGTAAGAACTCTGTTGGATCATATCCATCCTTGGAACACGTAGTTCTGCCTCGGGTCAGGAGCATCATCATCACCCCAACTAACCAACCATTTGTAACAATAATAAACTCGCAATGATGTTAGTATAATGATCAATAGTGACACTGAAATCCAAAAGAAGCTATAAGTCATTGCCTTTCCTGGTTGTTGAGAGAGTGGTGAAGGGACCAGTCACTAGGAGAGAAAGACTCTCATGGAAGACTGAGGGTATAAAATATACTGTAGAAGAACTGCTGGAAGTTGTAATCAGAACTATCAAAATAAAAACAATCCACACCCCTACAGGAAATGGTGTTTTGTTCCTATCTAAAAGAGTCTTATTATGATTAGAAAAAAACTTCAACAAGAGCCTGAGTCATAACCCAAAATGTTTTTTTAATTCATTTTAAAATTATGAGATAAAACAAGCATTTCCATAATATAGTACAATAAAAAAGATGATTACACATGAAACTGCAAATCTGCTATGTGCAACTTAGTATTCCTTTCCAATATGCCACAGAATTATCATGTAAATATTTTCCTTTTTTTCCTTCCCTACTTTCCCCCACCCATTAGACACAAATGGGTGTGTGTGGGGGGGTAAAATTATTCTATACATACTCCTCTTTATCAGTTCTTTCTCTGGATGCAGATAGAATCTTTCTTCATATGTCCTTTATAGCTAATTTGGGTATTTATAATAGTCAAAATAACTTATTCACTCAAAGTTGGGGGGGTTTTTTGTTGTTGTTTTTAGGCAATTGGGGTTAAGTGACTTGCCCAGGGTCACACAGCTAGTAAGTGTCAAGTGTTTGGTCTGAGGCCGGATTTGAACTCAGGTCCTCCTGACTTCAGAGCTGGTGCTCTACCCACTGCGCCACCTAGCTGCCCCTCAAACCATATTGCTTTTACTATATACAATGTCCTCTTGGTTCTACCCATTTTCCCATTATTTTGTGCAAATCTTTCCATGTTTTTCTAAGATCACTGAGCTCCTCATTTCTTACAGCACAGTAGTATTCCATCACAATCATATACCACAACTTATTGAGCCATTCCCCAATTGATGGGCATCCCTGCAATTTCTAGTTCTGTGCCACCAAAAAGAGAGCTGCTATAAACATTTCAGAACATATGAGTTCTTTTCCGTTTTCCATAATCATCTTTGAAAACAGACCTAGTAGTGGCGTTGCTGGATCAAACGGAAGAGTGAGTTTAATGGGTCTTTGGACATAATTACAGAATGTTCTCCAAAATGACTGGATCACTGCACAATTCCACCAACAATGAAATACTGTCCCAATTTTTCCACATCCCCTCCAACATTTGTTGCTTTCCCCTTCAATCATTTCAGCCAATCTGGTAGGTGTAAAATGATATCTCAAAGTTGTTTTAATTTGCATTTCTCTAATCAGCAATGATTGAGAGCATTTTTTCATAAGACTATTTGTGTCCAACCGCAATAGATCATTCTGAGTGCATATTGATCTGATCAGCCACAGTCGGATACACGGTAACTTGACTTTAACACAGTGACATTTTGGTCCTCTCTGGGAATGAAAGACAACAATCAACAGCTCTCTTTAAATCTGGGGCATGCATCCATTTTGACCTTATCTTGGTAAATGATGTAAGATATTGCTCTGTGTATGGCACAGATTTTGTGTATGAACAATGAATCCATGAGTCCTTTTCTCCAATCTTGGATGGCAGTGACAGCAGTCAGTAGAACCTGGAATGACCTTTCCCAAGCAGGCTGAGTCCTAGTAGTTCGCTGAAAGTTCATGTAGACTCACCAGGACAGAAGTCATGCAGTGAGAAGTCCAAAGGTCCAGTTGGTACTACAGCTCCTGCATCATGAAGCTCTTTTACTCTATTCTGTAGTTCTCATATACAGGAAGCATTCTCACAGAGTAACGATGATTTCACTAGGGAAAAAGGATTTGCACTTATAGGAGGGTGGCCAAAAAATATTTCATAAAGAAAAAGATATCTTGGTCTGCTATGCAGATAGAACAAAGCCAAAGGGAGAACACATCAGGTCATTACAATTGGGTTTCAAAGCACAATTCACCAATCAGAGTCTTTAGTTCCTCATTCATACTTTTAACTTGGCTAGAATTTTGAGGAGAGTATGGGGTGTGAAACTTAGGAGTGACATGAAGATTACAATATGCTTGAGAGAGGACAGAATCTGTAAAATGAGACCTATCAGAGTCTATGCGGGTAGGTAGACCCATACCTGGCTACAATTTCTTTAATGAGTATTTTGATTAAAAGGCAGCTGTGGCTTTAAAACTAGGGAATGCCTCAACACACTAAGTAAGTTGGTCAATGAAGACAAGATAGTATTTATAATGACCTGCTTTGGGCACATTAACAAAATCAATCTGTAAGTGCTCAAAAGGAGTGAAGCTAAAAGATGGCCACCAAATGCTGTGGCTCAAGATATATGTCAACTAAAAGCTAGGCAAACTGGACAAGTGACTTATGCAAGCTGTCAATTAAGTGATGCCTAATTGAATCTGTTACCCTTTGTGTGCCATAATGGCTCCCTGCCCCCTTATGAATGAAAAGGCATACCAGGTAAACACTCTGGGGGAGGAGCGACTAACCTTCTTCACTAACCCCAGAGACCTATTTAGCCTTGTGTTGCTATTTCTACTTTTCAGCTTCAGCATCACTGTAGGGACCATTGCAGAAAACAATTTGTTTCCCCCTGCCAAATAACTGGAGATTGTCTGCATTCACTTGATATCAAGAGCCAATGGAGAAGAGAGAGTGATTAGTAGACAATGGAGAGTCATTGAGATGTAGGACATGAAAGTGACTTTCTAGAGCGGCTAACTCTGCAGTGGCATCTGCCCAGGCATTCCCATAAGAGACAAGGTCAGTCCGTTGGTATGAACAGAACAATGAACAAACACCAGGGCCTTGGGTAGTTCAGTGGCAGAGAGAACACCTTCAATAAAGTCTGCATTGGTAATAATTTTAACGGAGAAAATTAAGAATATGCTTTGCAACCACATCCTGACATGACAAACATCAAAAGCACAGCAAGAGTCACTGTAAATGGTAGCACTCTTGTCAACAGCGAGGTGACAGGTTTGACTAAGGGCAATGAGCTCAGCAGCCTGGGCACTCAGGTTAGAGAGCAATGAAGCTGCCCAAAGTGTATCATGGTCAGAGACCACAGAGGCTCCAGTGTAGGGCTCACCATCTTTCATGAAAGAAGTCATCAGTATGGAAAACAAAGTCTGGATTCTGAAGAGGCACATCCATAAGGTCATTACAAGTCAATAACTGAGCTACAGTCACACTCACCAGAGACAGGTAGGTTGGGGAGCAGTGCTGCAGAATTGAGAACAGAACGTTATAAAGTGACATTCTCTTTCCCTAACAAAGTCATCTCATACCTCCACCAGCCTCTGGTCAAAAAAGGCTTGGGTACAGGAGCACAGCAATAAAGCCTTGCCTTAATGGGGGCGCTGTATTTTTAAAGGACATCTTAGGACAAGATCACATGCTTTCTCCACTAAGGTGGCAGTGGATGCCACTGACCACAGGCCACGTAGAGGGCCCACAACTGAATAATAAGGCACATGGCACAGTGCAGGTCCTAGTGGTTGAGTGGAAGCCACCCCTTCCATTCACGTACAAAGAGAGTGAAAGGCTTACTGCAATCTGGTAGTCCAAGAGAAGGAGCAAACATTACTGCTTTTTTAAGGTTAGTCAAGGCAGCAAGGTGTTCAGGATCATGATGCAAAGGTTCAGTAATCTGGTTTTTAGTGAAAGCAACAAGAGATGTAGTAATCTCATCAAATGATGGTGAATATCCTACTGGTCCAAGGATAGTACATCCCCGTTTTTTAGTCTTTGGAACAGAAAATTGTTGAAAAGCCCATACACATTTTCTGGAGAAACAGAAGATGTCCCAACAGACAAGACAAATCCAAGATACTCTACTTCAGGTTGACACCACCAAACCTTCAATCTGGAGACCTTATGGTCTCTTTGATGAAGCTGAATAAGGCAATGATTGCTGTCCTTTTTTGGCAAGATCTCAACAGTGGGTGATGCTAGCAGAAGGCCATCAATATGTTGGACTAGGAATACTGAAGCTAATTACTGCTGCAAAATTTGGGAGAACAAAGTTTGGACTTCAGACATATCCTCGAGACAAACAGGTCCACATCCACTGTTGGTTGTTCCAGGTGAAGGCAAACAGGTATTGGGAATCTGGATGAATAGGAATGCTAAAAAAAAAAAATGCAGAGGACATATCTATCACAGTAAAGCAGGTTGCCTCACAAGGAATAGAAGAAACCATGTAGCAGGGTTAGGTACTACATGGTGCCTAGGTATTAAGTATTATCCTGTAAATCTCGCACAAAATGATATAGTTCCACCATCAGGAACTGGTTTAGGATTCTTGACAGGTAATATATGGGGATATTACAGGGAGGTCTGCATGGTACAATAATACCTTTATTCCCTTATGTCAATAATAGGTGCAATATCTTCAATAGCTTCTCTAGATAAAGAGCATTAAGGTACAGATGGTGGTGGATTTCCTGTAGTAGTAATAGTCACTGGGACAGCTGTCCTCTGATGTAGGATAAGGTAGCCCATAAGGAGCTAGGAATATCAGGAGGGATACAGGTGTCTTCTCCACTATGGATGTGTGAGGATAAAACAGCGAACGATGAAGGCATTTCTTCATGAGAGCAATCATTGGTACGGTCTATCAATACAGAGAACAAAGAAGTTGGGTCATCTGGTAGATGTTGAGCCAAAGTATTACTGGGAAGAGATGAAATAAGTGACTTCTAGTTTGCACAGAAGATTTTGCCCCAACACAGTAGCTGGTGCTTACTGAAAGGGAACATACAGTAACTTCTTGTGGTGACAGGATAGATACCTATTGGAGATCTCCCTTAATCACTACTATGTTTAAGGATCCAACAGGTTGACACTTTTTTTAAGGCTGAATAAGAAGCTCCAGAATCTATGAGACTGTCATAAAGGGTACCATTAATCTTAAAGGCAATTTGGGGTTCCCTAGTTCAAGGAGAAGCAAAGACAGGATTCCACAACTCCTGTTCCTTCCACATCTTCAGACCATATTTAGAGGTTATAATTCTACCCGGGGAGATGTAACTGACTTAATCTGAATATTGCCCCATTGCTTGACTAGTGTGTGGAGTCACTCCTGCCAGTTATCACTGTGGAATTTTGACCTGTTCATCCTGCGATACTTTTTTTTAAAGGACATTGGATTTGATGTGCTGGTGGAGTACATAGTACTTGCCTCGCCCACATCTCCATGCTAGAGGATTTTCTTGCAGCTGTGGCTAAAACCTCTAAATTCGCTCCTGAGGCCTTACAAACCCAATGTCATTTGGGGGCCCCAAAAGCCCATTATTGTTTCACGCCTGAGGTCTGGTGAAACTACTAAGGAATCTTTGTTCTCCCTGTTCTCATTTTTTCATTAAACAGTTCTGAGTAAGATGTCCTTTTTTATGACAATAACAGCACTCTTGTATTTCACTTTCAGTTTGTGGAGCAGGGAATGGGCCTCTGACCTGAACTGGGGTCAAGATGGATTGTTTTGTTTTGTTTTTTTTAACCTGGGCATCTCCTTCCTATCATCCATTGTGTTTCTTTCTTCATAAACATATTGAGCAACGGCCTTTAGTTCACCTATATTTTTCTCAGGCCACCTACAACAGTGCTTATGGAAGTACTGTCTGATTTCTGACACTGATTTGTTAACAAAGGTAACATTAACAATTCTTGCATCCTGGGGGTTAAGAGTATCTAACCCAGTGAAGGACTTGGCACTTTTGCATAACCTGTCATAGAAGTGCAGAGGCGGGGGGGGGGTCTCATCTTCTTGGGTCATTTCCTGAAACTTAGTTGTCTAGGTATATAGCACAGAGTTCCATGCCCTGAATTTTAAAAATATACGGCTTGAACCAGCAGGTATAGTGTGTGGGGTTATTAGAGTCCCAATTCAAGTTTTGTAAAAGGTTATTAGGAAGATCCCCTGGACCTGCTGGAACATTTCCCCTTAGAACTCTATTAGCTGCCTCTATTACAGCAGTTCTTTCTCCTGGGGAGAGCATAGTTTCCATTAAGTCAGTTACATCTCACCAGGTAGAATTATAACCTCTAAATATGGCCTGAAATTGGGTTATATCAGCTGCAAGATCTTCATCAAATTTAGGGGTATCTTTTCTTTAAATACAGAGATTGGAAGGGCTGAAAGAGTGATGTTCTCTTGCAGGGGCTCCAGGCTAATAAACCTTTTCCACAAGATGGAAAATACCAGTAGGCTGTTCTTCATTTGTAGCTGTTATAGGAGGAGAAGGGTAAGATGGATGTGTAGAGGGAGAATGAGGAGGAAGAGGAGGATCAGATAATGAAGGAGAAAGACTGGAGGGTTGGTTGGAAGATGAGAAGCTTAACTCAGAGCTTCCCAGCAATACCAATAATTCATTTGGTCTATGTGAGGTTTAGGAGATTGTCAAGAAAACAACTTAATTTCCTAAGTATTGTCAAAAGTTCCAAATACTGGCCAAAACAAATGACCTGAATCCTTAATATTTTCAGACTATGCCTGACATAGCCTACCAGCTCTTTTCTTTGTCATACCTGGTTAGATTGGGAGTTGGGGGAGTGGGTTTATCCTTATCCCATGATGCAAGAATTTACCCAAGGGAGATCCTGTGGGAATGTTTATGCTTGGTTCCATCTCTTCCTGGGCATCCCTGGTGAAGTTTTCCTCCCTGGAAGTCTCCTAAAAGAATTTCTCTGATAACTTTCCCTCTAGAAATCCCCAAAGTTACTAATTTGCTTCTGAGAAGTTCCAATGAAGATGTTTCTAAAACATCCGAGAATCCTTCAATGTAGGTCCTTTCCTATCAGGATATTCTCTGAAAGAATTTCTCTGAGGACTCTTTCACTAGAAATTCCTCAAGACCCTAATTAGCTTCTCTGTCCCCAGTGTAAAAAAATATTCAGCTGTCCAGGAATTGGGTTTTGGTAAAATTCTCCAACATTTTTCAGTCAGTAAGTCTTTGAGGGCTTAATTTCATGGTCTCTGGGAACTCTCAGTAAAAACCCAAACCTCCCTTCTAACAATAGCAAGTTTTCAATGAGTCAGGAGTCCTTGTCTGAAGAGTCACATGGTTCAACCTCCTTTGGTCTCTACTCCTTCGGGCTAGTCCTGCTGGCCTAATGGGTGTGGTAACCACAATCTCCTCGTGAGCAGCCCAATTTTTGCCCAACAGGTACAGAGATACCTCAAGAAGTCTAGTCACAGACTTTGTGTTTGGCTCATTAGGTCTAAAGGAGACCCCAGGTGGCCTTTACAGGTGTTCCCTATCAAAGAGTCACATGGTTCAGCTTGATCCCTTGACCCTTGCTTTCTACCATGCTCAGATGTGGTTGTTTCAGGAGCCTAGTCACAGGCTTGGTCCTTCCTTATGGATCTAGAGGAAACCCACAGGTAGGTCTAATAGGTAGTCCCTGCTGAAGGCTCAAGGTATGCCAGTTGGCAGCCCTTGCTTTCAAGATTGCAATCACTGCTGTCCACTCATAATAGCCTTGGGGCGGCTGCTACCAACCTTAGCACCTGAGCACATCACTTCATAAAGAGCCTCCTCAGGGGACACAAAGTTTCCCCCATTGGCTGGGGTGCCAACCACCAGATTAAGTCCTAGTCTTGATGC